TGCCGATCCTGATTAAAAAGATGATCATATCAGAAATGTCCCTAGACGAGAGGTATGTTTAATGAATAAATTGATTTAAGACAAAGGTAAAATTCAATTCTATAAATTTTCGTAGTTGACAGCTTTTTGAAAGCTAAAACAGTTCGTGAGTTATGTGCCTTTAAAGGTAAGGCATCCGCTACCTCGTTGGGCGCACCAACTTTAAAAGCGCATATCTCGAAAATTAAACGAGTCATCAAAAATGTTTAAATTGTAAAATTTTTTTAAATTTAGTAGACTACATTCCAGTAGTTTACACATCATAGATAAAATCTATAGTTTTTGAGATACGCGCCATTGAAGGTAAGGCACCCACCTGCTCCGCGAACTTTAAAGGCGTAGATGTCTGCGTCTCTTACCTCCAAATCTTCTGAGCGTTTTATTTGGGCTGCCAGATGAGCTAGAGATGGGATTTTTGCACCAAAACTTGTTATTTTTTTTGATTAATATGCTATTAAATTTATGAACTATCGAATTTATGAATTTTCACATTTTTTTCAAAAAAAAACGTTTTTTTCCATTTTTCGGATTTTTGGCTCAGCTGAAAAGAATGCTGAAACCGACAAAATCTGTAAAATTTTAAGCTTTCTAGCTCATCTGGGAGCCGAGATATAGCCATTTGAAGTTCAGGAGACAGTTAGAGTGTCTAGCTGTCTGCGTCTCTTACCTCTTTATCTTCATAGCGCTATATCTCCGCTCCCAGATGAGCTAGGAACTGGAAACTTTGACTGTTTTGTGTAGAATTCAATTTTTGACCTTTTTCAGAACCGAACTATCATTCGCCTCCACAAGACTCAAAACCATGTTCCAAAAATTCAAAATCCATGCGGATTGCGTTACCTATCAACTAGTATCATCTACGGATTGTGGAATTGAAGTGAAATCTGGAGAAAATACATTCAAAATAAGGATTGCCAGATATTGGTGCAATAAATCGTGGAGTGTCTGGAAGATCAATGGAGCAAAGATGCTGATTAATTTGTTGGAAAGGCGGGAAATGAGCACTGAGCACTTGCATCAATCTGGAATTAGTCTTAAATCTGAAATCAGCATTTTAGAGGAATTCAACACTCATTTAATGTCATTTTTAAAGGTGGAAAAGTTCACTATTTCGTACTACGAAAATTTTCGGGACGCCTTCATTTGGAAAATTGTAGAAAAATTCGATTTGATCAAAGTGGACGATGAAAATGAGCCGGAGCCAATACCAATTGATTTGGGGAATTTGAAATTTCTAGAAGAAGAAGTCCAGAACAATAAGCTTTATTTGAATGTACGGGTTGTGTAGAAAAAAAGAAAATCAAAGTGTTTATGATTTTTTAAGAATTTCCAAATATATTTATTGAAGCAAATCTGAAATCAGCAAATCTGAATCGATCTAGGCTCCGCACACTTTTTTTTTAGGATTTCTAGGTCATGACCTAATTTTTTTTCTAGGTCATGACCTAATTTTTTTTCTAGGTCGTAACCTAATTTTTCTAGGTCATGACCTAATTTTTTTTCTAGGTCATGACCTAATTTTTTCTAGGTCATGACCTAATTTTTTCTAGGTCATGACCTAATTTTTTCTAGGTCATGACCTAATTTTTTTTCTAGGTCATGACCTAATTTTTTCTAGGTCATGACCTAATTTTTTTTCTAGGTCATGACCTAATTTTTTCTAGGTCATGACCTAATTTTTTCTAGGTCATGACCTGATTTTTTTCTTGGTCAAGATCTGATTTTTTCTAGGTCATGACCTATTTTTTTTTCTAGGCAATTTTTGAAACAAATATATTTATTCTATTCCAAATAAAAAGTATTTCATAAAAAATTTAAAAATTCATAAATTTTCAAAAAATAAAGACACATGTTTTCACAAATATCTCTGTCCATTAGTTCCATCATTTCGCCGATCGTCACCATATGGGTACATGTCGCCCATAGCGGCAGATCCATGCTTATTGTCTTTTGGGAAATCATTAACCACTTGCCAATTGACACGATTCTCATTATCGATTGTTTCGTAGTGGCACAGATGTCTGGAATTTGAATTTGGCGCGTTTTCAGCTTTAAAGTAGGCCCAAACGCGACCCACTCAGCTCAATTTTGATTTTTCCAAATTTAAAGACGCATGGACTCTCGAAAATAGAAAAATCTTCAAAATAGGTCGTGTTTGGGCTCATTTTTAAGATCTAAACGCAAGCAATCCAAATATTCAAGCCAAATGTTCAATTTATTTTGTTTAGAGCTTCAAAATGAGCCCAAACACGACCTATTCACCTGAATTTTGGTTTTTCGAGGGTCCAAGTCGAAATTTTGAAGTTGACCAAAATAGATCGTGTTTGGGCTCATTTCAAAGGTCTCAGATTGGTGAAACCAATTTTTACAAATTCATGACCTAGTTTTGGTTTCCTAGGCCACAAGACTTACTTGTACAAACGCCAAACGATGTAGATGAAGAAAATTTCGAGAACGGCGACCAGGAAGTAGATGACGATGATCATGATTCCGAGGAGATAGGTGGCTGGAAAATTGAATTTCGAAAATTCGAATTTAGAATAAATTTGAAATTTTAAAAACATTTTGAAAAATCAGAAATTCAGAAATTCAGAAATTCAGAAATTCAGAAATTCAGAAATTCAGAAATTCAGAAATTCAGAAATTCAGAAATTCAGTGTTTTAGAAATTCAGAAATTCAGAAATTCAGTGTTTTAGAAATTCAGAAATTCAGAAATTCAGAAATTCAGAAATTCAGAAATTCAGAAATTCAGTGTTTTAGAAATTCAGAAATTCAGAAATTCAGAAAATTCCTTGAAACGTTGGACTTTCAGGATTTTCAGATTTCCGAGTGTCCGGATGTCCACAAGTGTCCAAAACCTGATAATTCTGAAAATTGAAATTTCATGAAATTCGGACCATTTCAAGCCGATTTATGAGCCAAAAAAGGAAGGATTCTTAATTTTCAGACATTCGGGCATTTGGAAATTGGGAATTACTAAAAATCTTTGTGACCGATATCTTGACTCAAAATACATCAAATTTTTTCAAATTTGAATTTTTCGAAACTTCAGAATCCCGCCAAAATGAATTTAGTTCATGTAACGCCTTCTGAACTCTCCATAATTTGAATATTCCTGGTATTACTGTATCTCGTATTACTATCAGATGTCAACATGTCTAGCTTTGACGCTATAACTTGGCTCAAAGTGGTCCGAATTTTCTGAAATTTTGATTTTCAGAATTTTCAAATTTTGAAGATTATTTAACATATCTTCAAGTACCTGAAAATGTGTACTTGTGGACCCTTGGAAATCGGGTAAACCCAAAAATTGGCATTTTGACCCATAACTTGGCTCAAAATGGTTACAAATTTTTTCAAATTTGAATTTTCAAAAAGTTTAGAATCCGGCCAAAATGAATCTAATTTATGGAACGCCTTCTGAATTATCTACGTCATCGAAATTTGAATTTTCCTGGTATTACTGTATCTCGTATTGCTATCAGATGTCAACATGTCTAGCTGCATATTATCAAGTGGAATTTCCAGAGATTAGTGACATTTTTGAAATTGGAAATCTGGCAAAAATTCAGAAATTGAATGCTTATTCTTGAAAAAATTATGGCGGTAAAGGTGAAATTTTGAATTTTGAAAATTTGAAAATCGAAAGGATTCCCGGGCTTTAAAGTGTTTTGAAAGCTCTAGAAAGCCAGAATATTTTCTAATGGTTCTGAAAAAAAATTCCAAAAAACTCAGAAATTCAAAAAAACAAAGGAAGCCGCACCATCATCACTCATATAATAATTGCTGACTCCTAGCAAGTTCCGAATTCCACGATAAGCTCCAAACATCAAAAGAATCGCCACAATGAATGCAACCAGAATCAAGAAAATGACCAGGAAGATCTGTGCGGACAAATGAGGAATCAGCCAACGAGAGTTCTCAGATTTGATGGCATAAATGAAAAGAGCAATGGCAATAATAATGATGATAACTGAGATGATTCCAAGGAGAAACCAAATGAAATAGCTCGCTCCGAAAAGATGGAAATTTCGGAATAATCCATAAACGGCGAGAGCACAAAGGAGCACCTCGACGATGGCGACAACGAACCCGGCTGTCTGAAAAAACAAGGATTTCTTGTTAGGGAAATTTTTCAGGGATTTCATGGCCAGAAAAAAATTAGGAATTTTGAGTCAAATTCGGTAGATTTTCAATTATTTTAAGCTTTCTAGCTCATCTGGAAGCCGAGATACAGCGATTTTAAGTTTTATAGAGAAGCAGACAGTTAGAGTGTCTAGCTGTCTGCGTTTCTCCAAACTTCAAAAGCNGTATNTCGGCTCCCAGATGAGCTAGAAAGCTCAAATTTCCATCGATTCGAGCGGTTCTAAGTGTCTTTTCATAATTTCAACTGTGTCAAATGGTTTTAAAAAACTTGAAACCAAAAAAATTTTTGAAAATAATATAACTATAATTCCAGGGCTGAATCACATTGATCATTGAAAAAATGACAGATTTTGGTGCAAAAAAACCACCACATTTCTAGCTCATCTGAAAGCCAAAACACAGTGATTTGAAGTGTTTTAGACGCAGACAGTTACGCAGACAGTTACCGCAGACAGACACGCAGACAGTTAGAGTGTCTAGCTGTCTGCGTCTCTCACCTTCATATCTTTAAAGAGCTATATCTCGGCTTCCAGATGAGCTAGGAATGTGATTTTTGGACCATCGTGTGTAGGTTTTCATGCTTTACCAGAATTTTTAGCTAGAAAAAACCAGACTCACCTTCAAATTTGAACACGGCACATAGGACTTTGACATTTTGAAAAATGCCTAGTTCACTTTTCCTCCCGAATTTAAGTTTGATTTTTCTTTTGATTTCGATGTTATTGGTTGGTTTTCACCTGCAAAAATAAGGATTTTTGAAAAGATTTGAAAAAAAAACAATAGAAAAAAAATCTGGAAGCAATGATGACGTCAAGGACAGAGGGACCACCATCATATAATGGGAATTAGAGAGTATTTTTAAGCTACACTGTTGCAGATGACTATCTGTTCAAAAATGAGCTTTCTAGCTCATCTAGGAGCCGAGATACAGCCTTTAAAGTTTTGGAGAGACGCAGACTGTTAGAGTGCTCTCGTTGTCTGCGTCTCTGTCCTCCACATCTTTAAAGCGCTGTATCTCAGCACCTAGCAAAGCTAAAAAGCTCCAATTTTACAGAAACAGAACCGAAACACAATCATTTGAGATTGAGGATGCAAGAGACGCAGACAACTAGACAATCTAACTGTCTGCGTCTCTAGCCTCCAAAGATGCATCTTAGCTCCTAGATGAGCTAGAAATTTGTTGTTTTGACCAATTTTTCTGGAATTTTTTGAGGAATATTATACTTTCAGGTTATGTGAAAATTTCGTAAAGTTGTCAACTACTAATACTCGTCTTAATACGTCTATTGTTGGTGTTAGAGAGCAAATAAAAAGAGGTGGGGGTCTATTACCCGAACGGAACCGAGTAAAACAAATAATGGGAGCTGTCACCCCTTTTATGGGTTTTTAGTAAAATTCTAAATTTTGATAAAAATATTTAAAACAAGAAAAAAACCGAAAAGTGTCTAAAAAACAAGGAAAACTAGATCGACATCTGGCAAGGACACTTTGAGCTAATTTATCTCATTTTCTGTGAGAGATATCAAAAAATAGTCAATTGATAAAATATTGCTGATAATGTGATAAGCATTTTATCAGTTGACAATTTTTAAATATCTCTTATGGGAACTGAAATAAACAGGACCCAAGTTAGCAGCCTCTTTAAAGACAGAGGCAGGTCAAGCTGTGAAGTTTAAGACTTTCAGAATCGCAGAATCTCAGAATCTCAGAATTCCGAAAAAAAAAGTTAGAAATACCAGAACAAATTTATAAATTCAAATATTCCAGAATTTTCAAAATTCAAAAAATCAGAACTAAAATTTCTAGATCAGATTTTCAGACAAGCTATTTCAGCCTATCTTTGAATATCATAGAACAATCTTCTAGTAGTTCTAGGACTGTTAGTGTCTTTGGAAGCTCCTCAAAAAATCCAATCAATAATTGTTTATTTGGTAGATCACAAAAATCCATAGTCGATCTAAAATCAGTGGAAAACGTAGGTGGATGTACGTATACTAAGAAGAAGCGACAGAAGAGAAAGAGAAAAAGAAAGATGAAGAAGAGAAGAGGAAGAAGTAGAATAGTGTAATCTCGAACTGATCACCCACTCTGGATGCCTGGAACGAGAGAGTAGGGGAAGTGAGAGACGCAGAGAATGCGAGAGAGGGGGGGGGGATGTGTAAAAGAGCTCTCCCGCCCGGGAGCAACACAACACATGGCCCCTTGGAGAATGGAGAGCCGGGATTTTTATCTTTGAAAAAATTTTTTTGAGAGAAAGAAGTTTGGCAATATCAAAATTGACTGGCAGAAACGAACAAAAAAAGAAACGAGGAAAGAAAAAAAAGGTTTTCTGTGATGGATTTTCGATTTTCAGATACTTTTCCAGTTTTTCTGAAATTGAAATCTGAAAATGGAAAATTCTATAATTTAGAAATTCCAGAAAATTTCAAAAACTCCCCCCCCCCCTCTCTCTGAGAATAAAAAACCTTGAAGTTTAAGAAGTTATAGGCGTTTGGAAATTTTTTGAAAAACTTTAAAAATTCGAGTCTTTCAAAAAATCTGGAAAATCTCGAAAATAAAACTTGATGATCCAAAAGCCTTGTGAAAGTACAGTACCGAGTGATCTACAGTAATCCGAAAACAACAGTAAACTACAGTACTCCCCAACAGCCCATAATTTCTTCGAGAGCAATTCGAATCCACTCAAAATGTTTCCATAAGCTTCTTGGCAATATTTAGGAGTATCCGTTTAACTAATTTCAATTTCAAATTGGATCTAGAGTAAGCCACATTAATCCTAGCATACTGTAGGGTTATTGTGGGCTTCCTACAGTAACCCTACAGTACCTACCCCCATACACCACATTCCATTAGCTCTATTCAATGATTTATAATTTTCCGGACATTTGAAAAATGGGCTTGAACCGATGGTCCAGAAATCTCGGGAAACTTGGATACTGTAGTTTTGGCATGTGAATTTGGTGGATACTGTACCAGCCATCAAACTGTCATTAGAGCTCACAGAGCATTCACATGGAAAGGTTGTCTGGAAACGTTCAAAAAAAATTTAAAACATTTTTTCTCGAAATTTGAAATTTCACCTTTACCGTCATAATTTTTTTCAGAATACGCATCCAAATTTTAAATTTTCGCCAAATTTCCGATTTCGAAAATTTCAGAAATCCAAGGAAATTCCACTTGATAGTACGCAGACAGGTTGACATCTGATAGCAGTAATCCCAAGAAAATTCGAATTTCGATGACGTGGTGAATTTAGAAGGCGTTCCACAAATCAAATACATTTTGGCAGGATTCTGACATTGTGAAAAATTCAAAATTTTCAAAATTTGGAGCATTTTGAGCCAACTTATGTCAATATGTTGATTTTTAGAATTTCCGGATTTCCAACTGTTTGGATGTCCGCAAGTACGGATTTTCAGGTTTCTGAATATGTGTTAAATTTTTTTCAAAATCTGAAATTTCTAAAAGTTCAAATTTTCGAAAATTTGGAGCATTTTGAGCCAAGTTATGAGTCAAAAATGGAAATTTTCCGAGTTTCCGGACATCTGGACAGTTGGAAATCTGGATTTTTAGATTTCCAAAATTCCGGATGTCCTGAAAATCCAAAAAAAAAAACAAACTACAACTTTTTGTTTATAGTCTAGTCCATCATTTTGGTCCCTCATAAAAAATTTGTCCCAAAAATTCAGAAAATCCCACTTTTGACGCTATAACTTGGCACAAAGTGGTCCGAATTTTCTGAAATTTAGATTTTCAGAATTTTCAAATTTTGAAGATTATTGAACATATTTTCAAGAACCTGAAAATATGTACTTGTGGACATCCGGACCCTTGGAAATCGGGAAAACCCAAAAATTGGCATTTTGACCCATAACTTGGCTCAAAATGCTCCTAATTTTCTCAAATTTGAATTTTCGAAAAAAATTTAGAATCCGGCCAAAATGAATCTAATTCATGGAACGCCATCTGATTTCTCTACGTCATCGAAATTTGAATTTTCCTGGGATTACTGTATCTCGTATTGCTATCAGATGTCAACATGTCTAGCTGCATATTATCAAGTGGAATTTCCAGAGATTTGTGAAATTTTTGAAATTGGAAAACTGGCGAAAATCCAAAAATTGAATGCAGTATTCTGGAAAAATTATGGCGGTAAAGGTNAAATTTTAAATTTTTGAAAAAGTTCGAAAAAAAAAATGTTTCTGAAAATCTTCCAAACAACCTCTCCATCTGAATGCTCGGTAAGCTCTAATGACAACTCCATGTCTGGTACAGTATCCACAGAATCCACGTGGCAAAACTACAGTATCCAAGTTTCACAAGATTCCTGGATTATTGATTCGAGTCCATTTTTTAAATGTCCGGAAAATTTCAAATTGTGGCACAGAACCATAGGAATGTGGTGTATGGGGGTAGGTACTGTAGGAGTACTGTACTACAGTAATCCTAAAAATGAAGTTACTGTAGCTTACAGCTTTCCAGGTAGTCCCCACCGGGGAAATAACCCGCCTTGAGGCTCAAAAATTGTGTGCTGAAGATTTTCAAGGCGTTTTGAGTGGATTCGATAGCGATTTCGAGCATACTTCTGCAATTAGTAAGAAAACTACAGTAATCCCAGTACAGTATCCTTTTATTTTTCAGAATCTGCAGTACTATTAGTTCCCAAAAATACCCCATACAAATATTATGGATACTATATGGATGGGGAGCGAAAAACGAATTGTAGATACTTGAATCAAACTGGACCGGATTGTAATTGGAATAAGGTTTAGAATTTTTTGATTTTTTGCCTTTTTGGATTTTGGATTTTCAAAAAAAAAAGAAAAATCGAAAAGACAAAAAATTCCAGACAAATTGGTGAAATAATCATGGTTCTAGATGCCCAGGGAGCTGAGATATGTGCTTTTGAAGTTTGGATGGAAAAACTACAGTAATCCGGAAACTACAGTAACCTACAGTACTCACCAACAACCCATAGTTTCTCCGCATACGAATCGAATCCACTCAACATGCCCCCATAACTTTCTTTGCAATATGTAGCACTGTCCATTTGACTGATTCCGATTTTAAAGTGGACCTACAGTAAGCTACATTAATCCTAGCATACTGTAGGGTTCCTGTAGGCTTCCTACAGTACCCCTACAGAACCTACCCTCATACACCAATATCCTTTGGCTCTATTCCATAATCTAAAATTCTCCGGACATTCAAAAAATGGACTC